CATCAGCGAAGAAGCACGTTTATCCAAAATCTACACAAACCATTGTGTAAGAGCCACTGCCATCACTCTCTGGTCCAATGCCGGGATTTAAAACCGCCACATCATGGCCATTTCTGAGGCTTATGTGCGGTGTAAAACGCCCCGTGACGTCATCGGGCAAACAGTCTTCAGGGTTGCTAGGATCACCAGAGTCTTCGGGGTCTTCCGGGTCTTCGGGTCTTCAGGGTCTTCGGGTCTTCGGGTCTTTGGGGTCTTTGGGGTCTTCAGGGTCTCCGGGGTCTCGGGGCCTGTGGGTTTTGGGGTCTCTGGGTCTCTGGGTCTCTGGGTACCTGGGTCTCTGGGTCTCTGGGTCTCTAGGTCCCTGGGTCCCTGGGTCTCTGGGTCTCTGAGTCTCTGGGTTTTTTGATCACAGGGTTTCTGGGTCGCTGGGACTTTTCACCTTTATGCTTCTCATCAAATAGGAATTCTCGCAGTCCATTTGCCTATTGACACTTGTTTATTCGATGACTTGTATTAACAACTAACTCAATCATAAAAGCACATGCGATATTATATTAAAAGTCTCGTGATCAACTGTCAATCATAATTGTCATTTGAGCTCTGTACAAACAAAACATAAACAAAAACACCATGTGGGTTAATAAGTTTCATGACACTTCTCTTTTCGGGTTTTCTGTCAACAAACTGCTGAGTCTTTTTTGCTTTTTCCTCATTCAATAATAATGTAGCAGTACAATTGTAAAAAAGAACGTTTTCTGTCTGAAAAAAATATTTTAATCTTAACTTTTCATCCATTTATTATCATATTATAATGCAACGTTAAAAAAAAAGTAGAAACGAAACACGATTGTATAAAATATTGACAACTATAAAATACCATTAACACAACTTGTTAGGATATGAAATAAAGTCGACGACCAATCTTACATTACAGCAAAACAATAATCAAGTCTCATTTGGGTGTTTGGGGTGTTTCTCGCTTTTCTTGAGGTCTAGCCCTAGCGAGCCTGACACAGATCTCTATGACAGATTCTACAGCGACATGCTATATTCATTTCCATCTAATGACAACTTGATACGCATATTTCTCGCTAACCTCCAAACTGAACAACCGTACTATGAGGCAGATTTGAAGAAACGTTTCTTCAAATCTGCCTCATTTCTTCAATCTCCATAATTTTCTAAAACGATGGAATAATTTTTTGAAACTTGATGAGTTGAAAGGAACCGTCTCCGAGATCGAACGTTTGCGTATTCATATTAAAAAAGGTTGCTTATCTGGACTTCAACCTGGGGAAGGCACTGAGCCTAATGAAAGCCTATCATCATACACTCAACAAAACACTGCTATGTGGACCAACTACCATCGGACCAGAACTGGCGTTTGCTATCCTGACTCTCCTGTTTTACGGTATCAATTGCAAAATAGATGGAAAAAACATATTGGGAACTCCAGAATAATACCGTTTATTCCACTGCTGGCTTCTCATGAAAACGATAATGTCCACCTGGGAAAAGTAAGGACTACGACATTCAAACCCGAAGTGCCTACAATCCAGAACACCGTTGTAGTTGTAGAAAACATGCAAGACATGTACAATGATATGATGAGCGAACTACTTTTGAAAAACACAGAAAAACTCATCTTGTATTAAATAACATAAACACAGACTGTAAAGACAAATGTTTCAACGCTTATGATCTTCCAATACTGCAACTTAAGCAAGTGTTAAGCAAGTGTTAATTGCGGAAGACGGAACAGATAATATGGAACAAAGCCACCTAAATTGTCTTCGCAGAAATCTCGCTTCTTTCAAACGACATCTAGATCCTGCCGTCGGAGATGGTGATTGTGCATTTAGATCAGTCATTGTGCGATTACGAAAAACCAAAGAGTGGAATGATCAAAATGCGACACTAATGGAACATCTAGTGGGTCTTGGACTTGGGAAAGGCCTAGATGAAGACGTGTTTCAGCTTTGTCAGTGTTTTGTTGACACTGTTCAAAGTAATGAACATTACCTAATGTTCTCAGGTATTCCACTGGATACCATCAATGACAAAACCAAACGATTTCGAGACCAAGGATCGTTTTGTGATGAAATAGGAGATTTGGTGATCAAAGTATGCTCAGACATTTTGAAGGTCCCCATTTTTGTCATAACGAGCATCAATGGCTGCTCTTATCTCCCATTCATTCCAGAAGAAACTATCATTGGCACAACAATATACATAGCTATACTGCTTGCGGTCCTGGCCATTATGATGGTACCATGTTGATTCCTGCTTCAAATACAGGCAAAGGACTCGAGATCCATGGGAAGATAGCATTACAACCAACCTTAGTGGATAGACAGAAATAAATCGGTTTTGAATAATGATTGGAAGCTAGTTTAAACTTCAAAATTTCCCAGTATAGCTTGTCCCGACCCCTTGCTTTGCTCATGCTTTATCGCTCAATTTTGTGGCCCCCTTAATACATATGTACACTGTATATGCCAAGTTTGTAAAGTACTCTAATTATTTAGCATCACAGATCGCAGAGTATATCAGTAAATCGTAGTTGCCGTACCCAGCTACATACTGCGCATACCCTGACATTAGATGTGTAGGTGCTTTTATTTATCACCAAAGTTTGCTTTCACAGAATTTTCCGAACAACAAGTGATGAATAAGGGCTGCTCGAGCGGTAAGAATTTGGGGAGAAAAAAACAAGCGTCGTGCCTACACAGCCAAAGTCGTTGCCCGTGTGTGGAAAAAGGCGAATTTTGTACACATAACTGTAGATGCAAAAGTTGCAACAACGGTAAAGGTGAAGACAAAGATGTACTCCCTGGACAAAGGAACGATGTTTCTTGCACCTGTGGTATCAACAAAGTTAAAAGAAACAAGTTGATCGTTGCTTGCAAAGACGGAGAAAGGAAGTCCAAATGTCCCTGTTTGCGTGCAAGACAGGAATGTTCTTATTTATGCAGATGCACATACTGCGGAAATGGAAACGACTCCACCAACAAGACAACTCCAGACTCCAAAGGGACGCTTAAATGAAAGCGTACCAGCCCATCGCCATATAAAAAGAGAAGTGTCGAATACTTGAAATCAATGAACAAGGAACCTCTGTCCGGACCATGGACCACTTATGACACTTGCCTTCTGTACTGCACGATATCCGTAATAGGTGCTACTGTGGTACCTCTATCAGTTGAAAACATTCAATTACTATACGACTGTGCAGCCGAGAAAGGTAAAACAAGCGGTTATTTAATCAGAACAAAAACATTGTCTCAAGTCTCTCAAAAACTAAGATGTCTAGAGCAGAAGCAAAAAATTGCCCCTGTGTTGCTTAACTAATAATGAAATACTCTTTTAAATCATCGTTTACTCAAACGCCTGCAATAGGCTCATGAGTCTGCCCAATCATTTGTTCCTGAGGGGTACTCTCAGAAAAAATTGGGATGGGTGTGTGCTGCCCGGTTTCCAAAAATCTCACACTATATGTGAGACCAAAATTTTTGATTTTTCCTATACCCTATTTATGACTTGAAAAAGTATCATCTTTCAGAAAACATATCAAGTTCAAGACTAGAGTGCAAAGACCATAGCCTATATATGACCAAAATGGCTAAAATTGATACCCTATTTATGACCGCAACAGCTGAAAAAACATACCCTTTGGGACTGCACACACCTTTCTAGCCCATATAAGGGAGTATCCCCAGGCGTTTGCTATCTCCTTATTTGGAACCAGAAACCCTGACATGGATAATTGTTGTTATTATTACATTGACCTCACTATCTCTTTTCTGATTGGCCGAAAACGTATGGTGAATTTTCGAAATCATGGCTTGTGACATCATCTCTGCAGATCATACAATAATCATGTCAAGGACAGTCAAGGTCACGGGTAGTCATGTCATATATGGCCGTGGTGCATGATTTCTAAGGAAAATCCTGTCAAGTTCGCGCGCCATGTGTTGCTTGCCGTCAGTGAAGAAGCACAAACATGATTTCCCACTTTTTTTTGTCATTCAACAAATTATTAGATTCGGTTTTTTGTGGTATCCAGAACGTAATCAAGGTCTCGGTAAGGGTTATAACCTCGGCTTCGGCTGAAAACTACCTCTAACTTGATTATTCTGGGTATCACAAAAACAGTCATTCAATAATTATCTATTAACTTGCAATCACTGACAAAAGCGGCTTTTTTACTTTAACGCCGCTCGCAAAGCCATTTGGTAAGAAAGACAGAATATTAGAAACAATTGAATCTTAGAATTATGTTATTTACAATGGAATTATCAGTTCAGTTTTGTTGTTATGTTGCAAGAGATACATCGCTGTGGCCGTATTGGATCTTTTCGTTTGGACGGGAATACATGTAGCCGAGTGGTTAACTGTTTAACTAGAGTGTTCAATTGTTTACTGAGTGCTGAAGCAATATGGAAATAGAAACTATTTGAGTTAACTGGTTGGAGAGATAAGATAATGAGATAATTTGCCCACAGAAACGGAAACTAGCAGTTCAGGTTTATGTTAGACCTGCAGTGTAATAAAGTGCAAGACAATCGTATGTGTCCGACGCATTTCTTAACCTGCGTTCTTTATTATTTTGCGAACGGAGAAAGGGAGAACGCATGATACATTTACTTTACGAGTGGTCTGTAGACTACAAGTAGTCCCTCTTTTGGCTCTTTCTTGGTATATCAACAACTGAAATTACGCAACCATTGAAAGCACTGAGATCATTGTGGTTCTTGGTCCTTGGTCCTTTGGGTTCTTGGGGCTGTCTAGGTTTCCAGGTTTTGGGGTCTCTGGGTCTCTGGGTCTTTGGGTTTCTTGGTCTCTGGGTCTTTGGGTCTCTGGGTTTCTGGGTCTCTGGGTCTTTGGGTTTCTGGGTCTCTGGGTCTCTGGGTTTCTGGGTCTCTGGGTTTCTGGTGCCATCGCCATTGTGGTCAGCCAAACAATACAACCAAACTAACTGCACTATACCAATCAGCGCTTCATGGGAGTGTTGGGCTTTATCATGGGGAGAGGCGTCAAAGCAGGAATATTTTGAATTTCTTAAAAGCCCGACGCACTTTAGCACACCAATATCTCATGATCATTTCAGCCAAACTTTGTAAAAATCTGACAAGTCTACATACCCTATTTATTTATGTATTTATTTGAAGAGGGGTTACTTGCGCACCCCCCCCCCAAAAAAATCTGAGTTTTCGGTCGAAAAGATTTTACAAGTTTTCACACTTCATCAACGCTGGTGTGAATGCGGTCATGCTGCCGACCATTGAAAAAATCCTGGTGTGCTGGTGGGACCTCGTGATGCCATAAACCCATAACACTTGTTTACCGCCTTTCAGTTTTTCTTTTCAAGCTTAATTGTGATGGCTCGCGTCGCCTATGTTATTGGTATATTTTTGTTGCTGGTGGAAATTTCATCCGCTATAGATATTGACAAAAATACAAAGGAATAGATCAAAAATGTTCTGCGAAGATACGAGGAAGGCTCTGAAGTACGCGAATTTTCCAAAATCCGACCTGACCTGAACTAACTAACCTGAGGGGTTAGTGAATGCTTTTCTCCGTCATCCTACACGCTTCCGAACTTGTTCATTTGGGATCCCCTTCAACAGTACTGCGACATATTCCATACAAAGCCTTTGTTCTGTGATCAGCATGGTCATATAATTGTACCCGGCCGTTGGACTAGTGGATCGTGTAATTCGTTAAACCCACATGTTATATTGGACTACAATGGGCCAGCCTTACTCATTGCACGAGAATATTACTGTAAGTCTAGCAACACAAGGCATTGCATTCGCAGTAGTGATGGAGACTTTTTGTGACAACTTTGCAAAAATTATTATATCAAGCCCCCATTGAAGCTGACACACAAGTGTGGTTTCACATTACCATTCAATCTGTTTCAGTCAAATTACATATGGAAAGCCAGCTTGAAGATTGCATGGAAAAACAATGGCAATTTCGAAGACACTGTGAACTGAGGCAAAGGATATTGGGGCAAACAGCGTTAGAGTCGTCCGAAGAATCAACCAAAGAGGCTTTTGACACATTCAGAGACTTTGTCATTGGGCTTTGCCCCAGTGACGACTCACTTTGTGACATTTTTCTCAAGGACTTTCAAGATCAAAAAGATTTGTACGAGGAATCCATGCGTTCGACATCGGTGAGAGCGCTGGTGGCAGACCACACTTTTAAGGTAACTGGGCAAACAGATATCCTTCGCGTCAAATGTCAGTCATCTCTATACATTTAGGCTTAAGGACATGTCTCATTTGATCCAGGCAGGACCTGTTAGAGAAGAAATGGGGGTGGGGGAGGGGGGGAGGGGTAGTGGGAATTTTTCAGCTTGCGTGATTTTTTTTTTGTCCACTGGCTGTGCAGGTATTTTTCTTATGTTTCGGATATATAGTCTTCTGCAAGACTTTTCATTTATGCTAACAAATTTTCCCTCTGGCGCCATCTTTTCTTCTTTCCCCGTAGGGCGATTTTGGTATAAACCCAGCTTAAAAATATCTGATCCCCCTAAAGCATGCAGTTTCCATATTTCCATGCCCCCCTCCCCTAAATGGTCACCGTGATTCCATGAACAACCCCCTCCACTTCACTCCTCTCCAAAGCTATCATTTTTCCTAGCCTAGCTCGATATTTCTAATTTCTCAAAGTACGCCAGCGCAAGTTTTCAATACATTTGTCTGGAAAGTCCGTATAAACATTTCACCACACGCAGCATGCAACCTAGAGGGATCCTGGGGTATTTTGAAAAGGCTGGAAATGCATCTAATACTGCCACATGTTTTGACATTTATCAATTTTACTATTTGTTCCGCTTAAATTTCAGCCTGAAGGTGCACTTTCCTTCTGCAGAATTTTTTTTCTGTAATTACTCTTTGCATCAAGTATTTTCGGCCACCTCCCGTTGTATGAATTTCTTTTCAGTTCTGTATTTTACCCATCCCCCCCGTCCATCACTTTTCTAATGGTCCATTGATAAAGAATGCAAGGCAACAGCCAGCTGCAATGGCCACCACGTGGCTTTTTTTTAATCTAATTACAAAAGTTCTGGGTGGCTACGTGGTGCTTAATCTCTCCCTTATTTAACAGGAAGGGAGTTAAACCAGATATTGTGAATATTGGGATTTTTAATGCAATCACTGACAAAAAGGCCTTTCATACAAGGAAGGGAAACAGTGCATTAATTGCTCCAATTTTTCATCGCCCCCAGCCCCCATGGGGCCAGAAGGAATTACTACAACTTGCAAAATATCTGTACATTTGACAGGTGAAACCATTGAATAAGATTGATGAAAGTTATTACTTTGATCCTATTTTCTAAGTTTCATTTATATTCTCTATAAAATAAGACCAATGCCACAAAAAAATTCTATCCCATGCTGTGTCACTAAAATAGTTTATTTCTCATTTATCCTAGGTTACAGTTAATATAGGACTGACACGAACCACTGATCATTCGTGGGTCAAACAGTTCAATTCATTGTTTGTTGTATCAAAAGAGAAACATGAAGTAGTGACATAGAAACTTACAAAGAAAGAGAACTTTGAAATGGTTCAAGAAATGCTTGAGAATCTCAGGGAACGACTATGTAGTAAAGATGAATCCGTGGAATTCTTTATCATTGATAACTGCTGTAAATGGAGAAATAAAATACACGAGACTTTTGGCCCCAATGTAAAAGTGCGTTTGGACCTTTTTTCATGCTGTTCAACGA